AAATTGCATCAGGATACGGCCACAAGATCCCCAGAGTTAGATCGCTTCTTGGAGTTCCCTCCTTCTTATTGGCGTTCCCCCGGCCTCGGCTCCAGATAGCCCGAACGCTGGTCGCCGTAAGATACTATCCCCCCGTTCATTCAATACCGGAAGCGTTTCCGCCCCAAGTTGGCGAACAAGCGGGCAACACCAACAAACCAGCGCGTGGAGACACAGCGCACAGCGGCGCCGCCGAGCTAGTCCCGGATTACCTCCCAGAAATTAAATAGACGAGACCCACGAGATGGAAAAAAAAGTTTCCCATGGAGCCGTGGGAATGTAGGTCACCTGGCGTTTCCTTCCGCTAACAAGCAATTCAGAGACTATTTGGGTTTACAAAAATATAATAAAAAAACAAAGCAAATCAAAGCAGGTTGTTAACCCGACACCCTCCGCTAAACGGAAGTGCATTAATATGGTAGACGCAGATGTGGAAGTAACGACGCTGAGAACATTTGAGTGAGGTGTCGTTCTCGAACTGAGTGAGACAATTTCGCCTCGCTCGATCAGATCGATGACTAAAGGGCAAACCTTATTTGAACCATATGCACCGGATTCTCACTCTGAAGGAGTAAGATTTTCCTGACCTTGCCCAATTGCAGTGGGGAACCTCACTCTCGCTCACTCTCATTGGGTAGGGACGGAAAATTATGACTCAAATTGAGTGAGTCAGATATCTCGCTCGAGAGCGATATTTTTTGTGTCACTGATCTCGCTCTTCGGGGAGCAAGATATCTGACTCTAGCGTTTTCAGTGGAAAAGTTACACACATTTCAAATAACGAAAGATCACGAATTTAACTAAAACTCCCAAACGTGAACCAGGTGACTCGAAACCGCCAGGGACAGGGTTTCCCAGCTTCCTGGAGAGAACGGCCTTGCGGGCAAAACAAGTCACTCTACCCGCTGCCTCGACCAGAAACAGAAGCGAATCGCTAATAACGGCGACGGAACAACGCCGCACGGCCCCGTGCGAGAGAGCAGAGTAAACAAAGAACGGGGCGGGCGACGCATGACTTTGGCAAACGGCGCCGGCGGCACGGGGCCCCGTCGGGGCGCGCGCGGCCTGTGTTCAGGTGCGCGGCGCGCGCTGCCAGCTCTGCTCAGTTAATGTCCCTCCCTGCGAGACGAAGGCCCAGCCTGGCCATGACTAATGGGCGCGCCGGGGGTGCCAACACGCAGCGCCGGCAACATTCCAAAGCTGACCGCCCAGGTAATCTATCCCCCGAGCTGCTGCTGCTGCTGCTGTGGCTGCTGTGGCTGCATGAGCGCGTGTACCTCAGGGGCGGCCAAGAAAATGTATGTCTTGAATGGTTAAGTGAATTAGTAACATGTATTGAGATCATAAGAATATTTAATCATTTTTGTGCCACTATCAAAAAAATTATCGTGACTTAACGAAATTTGCCAGAGTAATTTTATTCTGCGAAAACTTCGGTTTTAACAAATTACGATACATCGTCTTTTGGCGAATTGCTTTGTAAAGTACAAAGCTTTAACTAAAGAGTATGAAATCTGTGTATATTTTGTCAAATCTTATGTATTATGAACCAAAAATTTGTATTCGCTACGAAATGTATTTATAAGCTCACGAAATGTTTCGTAAATTGACACTTCCAAAACTGTTTCGTAAATTAGTCATTAAGATGCATTTCGTAACCCCACTTTTTCGTAAAATAACGAAAACTTTATACGGAGAAATTACGCATTTGTTTTCAAACATTTATTCGTCTTTCTCACTGTATATTATCGACATGCTTTTTTAGATTCATCCGAATGTTTTATTTAGAGAATAGAGAATGACGGCCTTGTATCACAGCTTCCAGCGCCGGTGCTAACAGTGGCAGTCTGAAACGCGACGGCGGCGAATAGCAAACGCGGGTGCCCCACTGCAGCTTCTATAGTTTTCTCCCCCCTCATTGCTGACACGCCCAAGCTTGACGGCCCTGAAATTGGCCAGTTCGAGGAGTCCACCCGTTTCCCCACTTTCAGAGGAAAACCAATGCACGGCTGAGTGTGACTGACACTATTATGCTGGCCAATTCGCCTTCTACAAATTAATAGGCAT